AATACTGTATTCTTACAATAAAGTATGCTACAGAAAAAGTGTTATTATTAAGAAAATTGTAAGGAAGAGAAAATATATTTACTGTTCATTAAGTGGAAGTGGACCACCATAAAAGTCTTCATCCTCATCATCTCATATTGAGTAGGCTGAGGAGGAAGAGAAAGAGGAGGGTTGGTCTTGCTGTTTCAGGGGTGGCAAAGTTGGAGGAAATCCACCCATAAGTGGATCTTCGAAGTTTAAAACTATTTAAGGGCCAACCATCAATGCAATGTGAACAACAGATCTAGTGCTCTGCTAAACTCTTGAGAGTGTGACATGGAAGGAAACTACCACATACAACTAGTGATGGGATTTTCCCCCACCTTAAACGTTTTTGGAACAAGGAAGATGTAAATTTTTTAAAAGGAGTAGTTTAAAAACCTTCTAGGTGTCGCATTTACAATGCAATTCATTGTTATAAAATACTGATAACAATTGTATATCTAACATACTTTACCAAGAGAAATACTTTACAGGGGTTTACATGGCACATTTATCTCCTCCACTCTATAAAGCACAATCTTGTTTAAGTGAAGAATTTTGTGTCTTCATCTGGAGGATTTCTTGTGATTAGAAAATCCTTTTTGCTAGAATCATGGTGGTTGAAAAATTGTGCTTAGTGTTCTGATTTTCCAAGTTTCCTTTGCACAGGCAAAAGATGTAGAGAGGAGGAGAAGAGGAAAACAGAAAGAGGAAATTTTTGTCCAAATAATGACAATGGAAAGGTGAACATTTAGCTAACTGAAACCAACCCAATAGTCTCATAGATAGTTTCTTGCATAAACACAGAACTTGACCCTTCTGGTCTTAAAGCTTAAACCTTACATTTGTTTTATCTGAGTTCCTTCCTCAGGAAATGACCTTCAGGTCTCTCAAAAAAAGTGACAAAGAATTGAAACTCACCAGATCATCACATTCAGACAATGAGATGGAAGACCCCTCATTCATCCTGGTTGCTTCTCTGGCCCTCCCTAATTCCTGTTTTCTTACACATTGTTACATTTCTTCCCTACTATAGAAACCCCTAGGTTTAGGTTTAGTAGGTCAGGGAGATGGGTTTGAGACTGGGCTCCCATTGCCTTGGCTGCAGCACTGGATTAAAGACTTCTTTCTTGGCAATAATTGTCTCAGCGCTTGGCTTTCTGCTGTGTGGCAAGCCGGAGGACCTAGGCCAAACCCCTGGTGTTCTGGTAACATAACCAGAAGCCTTTGCTTTGGTGGGTACACGTGGTTATTTTCCAGCAGAAAAATAGCCAAGTGAGAAATAGGTGTTGTCTCAGAGAGGTCTATGAGGTGGGGAGCAGGAAGGGTCTGGCGGGATGGGGCTGGTGTGCGAGGCACATTCCTGAGGATTCTTTATTGGGAGAGATTTCTGCCTTAGCAAGAAACACCCTAGAAGCTTCTTGCCTGGGGCAGATGGTTGATTCTGTATGCAGTCTTCTAAATGGTGTGGGGTTTGCCAAACATGGTGCTTAGAATCTGGACTATCCCTTGTATTTCTGTCTTTCTTTACCCCAACCTCTTGCTCGGTGGCCTCTTTCACTTCACTTTGAAGTGCCTGTCTTCGTTTGTTCAGACTGCTGTAAAAAAATTACCATAGACTGGGTGGCTCACACAACAGAAATTTATTTAACACGGTCTGGAGTCTGGGAAGTCTGAGATCAGGGTGCCAGCATGGTCGGATTCTGCTGGGGGCCCTCTTCCTGGTTTGTAGACAATTTCAGACCTCACATGGGGAGAGCGAGAGGAAACAAACACTCTGCTGCCTTTTCTTGTAAGGCACTAATGTCATTCATGAGGGCTTCACTTTAGTGACCTTATCACCTCCCAAAGGCCTAACTCCAAATACCATCACACTAGGGGCTCGGGCTTTAACATATGTATTTAGAGGGGATAATCCATGGCAGTGCTGAATAGTCTAGGGATCCCAGGCTCTTCAAAATCTCTCTGGTTTGCATCTGTTCTTGCCCAGTGAACCCTGCTGTGTATGTACCTTGTTTTGGTCAGATATTCCTTGTTTTTGTTTGTTTTGTTTTTTCTTTTATCTATAGTGAACCACAGGAGATTTGGGGGCTGATTATATCTGACTGCTGGTAGCCCAGTACATGTGATTTCTGGTCCTCACTCTTCACTAGACCTGGGACCTAGGATGAGTCATTTCAACTTGCAGTATTTCAGCTTTCTCCTCTACAAAATAGAAAGGTCCTAAATGTTTTATATGATTCTGGAGCTTCTAGTTCCAACATTTTGTCACTACAAGAATTTCCCCTAAATCATTCCTTTCTTATTATAGTCATTGATTACTTAAATTCAGTGATGTTGAGATGGATGGCTGTATTTCCTTTTTCTTTAACAATGACCACAACTGTATGTCATTATTATTATTTAGTAGAAAGCGTGAGGGGAGGAAGTATCCTTAGAATATTTTGGATTTTTCTCTTACCTGTAAGCTGGCTTTCTCATTTTGCTCCAACAGTCCTTATGATTCTGGGAAAGAGGACAGGGCAGAAGCCCCTTTGGAAGGGAGGAGCATGACCCTGGGGAAGTGGCTCTGTCTGGCTTGTGGATTGTGGGAGAGAATAAGGTAGCAGCCAAACCCCGTCTGCTGCATTAACCTCACTCTGAGCGCAGACTTTTGAAAGAGGGTGTGGCATTGAATGGGATGGAAGCAAAGCTAAAAGTGAACAGGCCCTTTCCCTTCACCCAGTGGGCCTAGACTGACACCATCTTGCATGGGGTCCTGCCAGAAACATCCTACAGCCACATCAGAATAAATGGTATGGCAGGTGGGTGTATGTAGACAGATGAGGCTCAGAATTTATTGACCATGAGTCTGTTTTGACCTTGAGTATCTTGGAAGGTGTCTTGGAGTTCCCATGTAGCAGAGGAGAGACGGAGGGGCTGAGGTCAGAACCACTAGGTGAGGGTAAGCACCCAGGGGCCTTGCCATAGGGAGCATGGTGACCCTATCCACCAGGGCTGCAGAATAGATGAGAGAGCCAAAGCAAGGCCATGTCAGCAGCTGAGAAAGATGCCAGGCCTGACAGAGACAACATGGACCTTGAGATGCCAGGTGCAGGGTTCAGGAGCAGAGGTGAGCTGGGCCTGGCAGAGAGGACTCCATTGCTGCAGGGGCCAGCAGGGGCCCAGACAGCAGGGCCTACACTGACTGCCCACAGACCTGTGACCTGTGTCTCCCTCGCCCACCTGGGGACATGGTAACTCCATGTGTATCCCACCCACTGGGTGCCCTTGTGGCGGGACAGGCCAAAGAAGGAGCATACACTTGACATGACAGCTGCAGTGAGGAAGGAGGCAGTCGGAAGACTTACGACACTGCTTTCCTGTGAATGGACATGTTGAAAAGGCCTTTTCCCTTCCCTTGCTGTCCAGTGGAGCTGATGGGGTGGGAGACTAAGGAAGGAAAGATCAATAGTAGAAAATATGCAACACAGATGTGCTTTGCTCACTTGAGTGGAAGTGAGCACAATTTCAATCCAGCCACGGCAGCACCGTTAGAGGAGGCTGCCTGCCTTGCGTTTCCCACCTGGAAGGGAGCTCCTGCCTGCTCTCTCCACATCATTTCTCCAGCTGGTGGTCTGGGCCCCAAGATGACCTGGAAGGGAGAATATTGCCTCGTCTCCCCTGGGGCCAACAGTGCACCGAATGGATGGGCTTGGTGAAGGAGGCTATGAGCACTTGAGGCTAATACTGTGGCCTCTGTCCCGTGTCTGATAAGGCCCTCCGTGTGCAGGAGTTGTTTTCTGTTAAGGAGTTACACGTGAAATAAGAGAAAGAAGTAGTCCATGAATGCCATTTTCCATTTTGGACATACAGACGGTCCCTCAAATTCGCACTTCGATTTTCCTGAATGGAAATGGCAAAGAGTGACAGGTCCATTATCAATCTACTAAAAAACTGACCTGGTGATCATGGGAGTCTTTCATGATGAATTTGATTCTATAGTCTCTTAGAATTGAGGTGAATTTGTTTTTTTAAAAATCCCAGAATATAATTCATAAAAATGGTAAATGTCTTCTCATTCCCCTTCATAAGTGTGATGCCAGGAAAGGACATTTGCAATCTCAGGCTGGGGAAAGACACTGTCATGGGAGAGGGAGAATGCTGGGCCGGAACGGGATGGGGAGGAGGAGGGAGGGCAATGGTGTTAGTAAAATTCCCCTGCATGGGAATAATGTACTTGGCACAGCCTGGTGTTCTCATAATAAAAAGAATAACTATCATTCTGCTTTCCCCATGAGGCAAAACAGATGCTGTCTCTATGACGAAGTGCTCACTCTTGAGTGGAACAGCCATTTCCACAGCCAAATGTCTCAACAGCAAACTGAAATTCCCGGGCCAGATTCCCCACTCTGTGCAGCACACCCCTGAAGCAGGTGGAGATTGTGCTCACCTCACAGTGGCAGCTGGAATGTGAGCGTGCTTGGAGGGTGGTGGTTGCGGAGGGAGGGAGGAAGGGAGAGAAAGAAGGAGACTGAGAGAGAGAAAGAGAGAAAAACAGAGAAGGAGGGGGAGAGAGAGAGAGAGAGAGGGAGACACAGCAGGAGAAGGGGGGGCAGCCAGAGAAGCAAGTGCTATAGCGTGCACGTGCGCGCGTGCACACACACACACACACACACGCAGAGAGAGAAAGGCAGAGAGAGAGAGAGGGAGCCTCCGAGACAGAGGGGCAGGGAGAGAGGGAGAGACAGCAGAGAGGTGGGGCAGAGAAGCACACACACAGAGGCAGAGAGAGAGAAAGAGGGAGAGAGATAGAGAGAGAGAGGCAGACACAGACACACAGAGAGAGAGAGAGACAGTGCAGGGGGGAACAGAGAAGCACAAACATGCACACAGAGGCAGAGAGAAAGACAGACAGAGAGGAAGAGACGGGAGGAGAGAGAGAGGGAGAAGCAGAGGGAAAGAGAGGCAGAGACGGGAGAAAGAGAGGGAGAGGCAGAGGGAGAGAGAGGGAGAGAGAGGGAGAAAGCGGGGAGAGGCAAGGAGAGAGGGAGAGGAGAGAGAGAGGGAGAGACAGTGGCGGGGCAGAGAACCACAGACATACACAAAGGCAGAGAGAGATGGGGGTAGGGTGGGGGAGAGTGGTGGAGAGTCAGGGAGAGAGAGAATTGGTCTCCCCATCCTGCCCTCACTGACCTCCTGCCAGGGTGCATGGGACAAGCAAGGGAGCCACCATAGTGAGAGTAGAGAACTCTCCTAATATTCTCGATTGAGAACAAAAAAGAGGTCCTGTATTTGTGGAAGGATGACTTGGATACAAAGAAGGAAGCGGCCACCTCTGCAGAGGTCGCAGGGCTGTATGCGACCTGGGCACTTACCTGCCCGCCAGACACACTGAGGCCCGCAGTGGACATGCAGGGGAGAGGGAAAGGGGGTCCAACCTGGGGAGCCCACGTGCTAGTCAGGGAAGGGGTGACATCGAATTGTGCTTTCGAGCTCACAAAGCCCTTTATTGAGCTCCACTGCATTTGTTCTTCACACGCACCCTGCGTGATGTTGCCAGGGTTTTAGCGTCTCCTAGCTTACCCAGTTAACCCGACTTGGAAGTGGCAGAGACGGACTCAACTGAAGCCTGCTAACTCTCATTTGAGCCCCTTTCTACCACATGCTGCCTCTTATGGCACAGACCCCAGCACACCCAGGTGGAGATCTGCTGGAGTTTATGAGCCTGGGTACCCTGGGAAAAGATGTGGATGGGATTGGGTGAATGGAGGTGCAAGTAGTTCCTCTGTCTGGGCAGCAGTCACTACTTGGACACCACAAACACTTCCCTGCAGCTGAGCACCAGGCTCTTTAGAGCATAACATTTCCGGGGAAAATGGGAAAACTTGCAAAATGCAGTCTGTTGTTTCTGCGGGTCCATGAGAATGTTTGTCTGCTTCCTTCTTTTTGTGCGTTTATGCACAAGCAGAGGCAAATCTGAAGTGATGCTTGCAGCAAGGCCTTCTCTACAATGGCGAGGAGGCGCTCCAACTCCCTTTCCCCTCCCCTTGCTTTCTGAGGCCCCTGTTTTACTTGTCATGAAGGTGGATTCGAGGCACTCAGATGTAGGTAGGGCACAAACAAGCTGCTAAGAGAGCTGACATCCACGTGATGACGACCCCTTCCTTCTCCATGGCAATGTAAGTGCTTCCAGTGATTCTATGCATTATGATCATTTTTCGATTTAAAGAGATTTCCATCTACCTTTCCTGGTCCATTTCTTCTTCCAAGGAGAACAAATATCAGAAAAATAAAAAGAAATCAAACAGCACAAGTATTTAACGCGAGTCTGGCTGCTCCTGGCCAATCCGCCCACCTTTTAAAGGACAGAGGTGAGGGGCCAAATCTTCCTTGGATAAGTGCCTCTGCTAGAGTCACAGACTGGCTCAGCGATCTTAGCACTTAGCCTTTCAGTTACCCAGTTTCCACATCTGTGCAATGTGGACACAAATATACCTATCCTGTGGGGTGGTAAGGAGGATTAAACCAAACATGCACATCCCAGGTGGAACACAGTGCCAGGCACACAGTGCACACTCAGGTATGGTTTGCTGGATCCTCAGCTGCAGCACATGTGTTCCAGACCCGTTTGCTACCACAGGTGTACTTGTGTCACGGGAAAAGGGAAAGGCAAAAGCCACGTGCTTGAGGCACATGAGCTCCACGAAGCTCAGAAACTTTCTCTGGGGACAGAGGGAGGTGAATTTGCTAGGGGCCCCGCCTCACGCCTCCTCCTATCCTCACGGTAACAAATGCTTCAAATAGCATCACCTGTCAGAGTGTGTTCAGTTTCTAGATTGTCAGGCAAAACCTCAATTAAAAAGAGAAAAAAAACCACCAGGAAACTTAGTTTAGATCATGTCACATGGCCAAGAATATGTCAGTTCTGGAGGAAACTTGGTTGTCAGAAGGTAAGATATTCATGGCACCCCACAGAGCCGAATTTCCAGGGTGGCAATATTTTGTCCAGGGGTTAGTTTCTCTTCTAATGAAGGCTGTCACACTGCAATGCTCTGGAGGATGTGCAGACTGGAGGAGCCCAGCCCTGTGCATGACACCCTCCAACAACAAGGAGATTGCATCTTACAACTGTCAGGAAAATAGATTTGCTGCTGAGCACTTGTCTTGGTGCAGTTTATTAGACTGCATCGGTCGTCTTAGGCTGCTTTGTCCTCAACACAAGACTTCAGACGAGGAAGGGCATGTGAGATGAAAACACAAAGGGAGAATACACAAAAGGTAGAGGCTCATCTTCACCAAGAAAGGATAGGTGGGTTGCCTAGGTGATGATGGGGGGCACAGAAAAGGTGCCCATGCAGTCCCTGGTGTCCTGGGGACACAACAGTGCGGGCTCTCCTTTTGAAAGTGGTTTTGAGGTGACTACCGTGTGCTGCCATTTCCATTCTTGTCCTGTAAGAGAGGCAGGAGTGTGTCAATGGGATTGTCTCTATGCCCAGTGGGACTCAGTGACAGCAGCCAGCTGAGGTAGCAAATGCAACAGCGTGGCGGATCTGACTGCAAAGTCTTTGCCAGGCTCAGGCTTGCTTGGGCCATTGAAGGATTCTGCGTGTTTTCTCCTCTGGCCTCCGATGTGTTAAGTATTCCTCCAGTATGCCTACCCTCTGAGGCCAGAGATTGGAGGTCATCAGGCTGTCAGCTGGCAGAGTGGAAGTCCCTTCTGACCTTGAAAAGCCAGCAAACTGCTATCCACAGTCTGAGAAGTAGCCACCCTCACATGTTGCCCATGCCTTGATGAAATACCTACCCAACTTTGAGGCCTTCCCCATGTGCCTTTAACCCTCCCGTACCAGGGATTTTCAAGTAGCTGTTTCTTTTCTTTGGAAATTTTCTCTTTCTCTGTCTAGACACATTCTTCAAAGTCTAGACAGAGACCCAACTCCTCCAGGAAGCCTGTGTGCATGATGTCAGTCTCTGATAGTTTTTCCTTCTTCTCATTACCTGCATTTTCTGTACAAATTTACCACAGACTTGCCTGTGTCATGGTTACCTTAGAAATAATGTTGATCTTGTTTTACATTTTCTTTCATTTCTAAAAGGCAAGCATTGTACTTAATACTTCTTTGAATGTCTGCAGACCAGCACATAAAAAGAGCTCAATGTTGCTTTTTAAAATGGCCTTTCTGTGATTTTGGGAGAACCTGGTTTACACCGTGGACTATCAGGGGTGTGTGTGTGTGTGTGTGTGTGTGTGTGTGTGTATGTGTGTTGATGGACAGCCATCCTGCTGGAGGTCTCAGGAAGTGGGAGTAGGCAACTGTGAGATTAGACAAATCTGGAATATCCACAGCATTGTCCCCTTTAATACATACCAAATGTGAACTGCAGTGGCCAAGAGTGACTTGTTTCAAAGGCTCCTTTCTTTCCCCTGCCAGCCCATGAGTATTAGGAAAGGAGAGTTGCCTAATTGATCTCTGCAGCCGCAGGACCCAGCCCAACCCTGCCTTCAGTAAGTACTCATACATTTGTAGGAAACATTGTTCTCTCCTCTCCCCATCATCCCAGGTTGGCCCATGCTAATAAAAAAGAAGTCCCTCCCTTCCTTTCCTTGCCCCGCACTCATCATCCCCAAGGGAGGGGAGCATGGGGTCGGATGTGAAAGTGCGGGAAGGAGCTGGAACTGGATGGCTCCTATCATTGGGGTGGTCTCTTTCCCAGAACAGCCTATCCAGGGCCATACACTTCCTTCTTCCCTCCCTATGGAGAGGTCTGCAGTGGTCTGTCTGTCAGCCCGTGGGAAAGGGCAATTGGAGGGGAGGATGTAAATGCTCTATTATGTCCCCAGACGCAAAATGTTTCCAGTTCTGCTTCACTCACAGCAAACCTGATGTTTTTGTCTCTTTCTGGATTCTTTCTGAACTCTGAGCAGGAAGAGGAGCCGTCATTAACTATCACTACCACATCTCACTAAAGGGAAATATCTGGAAGTAACATATCTTGAAAAATGAATGCTGGGCCTGCCTTACTGTCTGTATGTGTCACTCTTGGAGGCCAGTCTCTCACTTCACCTCCAGGCAAGGGTTCAGTGTTGGTGTGAACCATGGCAGGACTGATGCCTCTGGATTTCAGAAAGAAGAAGAAAGCAACAGACTTTTCTGAGCATTTCTTTTTGCCCTGAGCTGGCCTCTACTATCTGGGAGACCGTATATTTGCAAGAGGTTCTATGTAATGGCTTTGAGGATTTGGGGGAAAGTGGGTGAGGAGAAGCCTAATGTGAACTCAGATATGCAGGTCTCCTAAGGTATGGAAGGAGAGTTTATGTATTCACCATGCCTTTTCTTTTCTTCATACTTTGATGGTATGAAGTGTGAAGTGGGTAGCTAATTCCCAGAGATCACACACAACTCCTCTGAGAGCTTGCCTTTCATATGCAAAACAACCAATCCACAGCCTACTCCCACCACCTCCTCTATGGGGTTTCACACTCTGGGCCAGTGTTCCCTTCCCTAATCACCTGAGGACAGGGACCAGACAGCTAAGGACAGCCCCTAAGGCCTGAGAGCCCTGAAATGATTCAAACCAGCCAGTCCTAAGCCTGCGTGTCCTGCCTTGCCTGTGTTCCCCATAGAAACCACAGTAAAGGCTCTTACTCGTGCTTTACTCCCGCACCCACCTCCAGACTGACCCTGACGCTTCCCTCTATGCACTGCCCCCATGTAGTGCACCCCGTCCTCTTGGGACCTGTGAGTAATGAACTATCTCTTCAGTGGCACTTGTCTCCTGATCTGTTGGCCTTTCCAGATCTCAATGATAAAAAAGCTTATATTTTAAAAGTTTAGAATTACTGAACTTGAAAGAGAGTTATGAATAGAAGAATAATAATATCTCCATCTCTCATTGGAAACTCACTTTGTGCCAGTCGTTGCTGTAAGTTTATTCACTGCATTACTTCATTCAGTCTTCACACGTTCTCCTGCCCACTGATGTATTTTTCAAATCAGGAAAATGACTGGGATCAGAGGAGATAAATAAACCTTCCAAGGTGACACATCCAGGGAGCGGACAAGCAGACTCAGAAGACAGCACACATTTGCTGAAAGGAAAGAAAATGGTGGAAATGGCTGTGGGCTGGCTTCAAAGTGAAGGATTTTGTGTTTGTGAGAACTGGAAATCACTGTTGCCTGCATGAAGTTGCAGCAGATAAGCCATCTGGTCTTTGCACATGAAAGACCTCTATCCCTGGTTATTTATTTATTTTTTAATTAATTAATTAATTAATTAATTTTCAGACAGAGTCTCATTTTGTTGCCAGGCTAGAGTGCAGTGGGATGATCTTAGCTCACTGCAACCTCTGCCTTCCTGATTCAAGCGATTCTCCTGCCTCAGCTTCCAGAGTAGTTGGGACTACAGGGGTGCACCACCACGCACAGCTAATTTTTTGGTATTTTTAGTAGAGACGGGGTTTCATCATGCTGGCCAGGCTGGTCTGGATCTCCTGACCTCGTGATTCACCCACCTCGGCCTCCCAAAGTGCTGGGATTACGGGTGTGAGTCACTGCACCTGGCCCTGGCCCTGGTTTTTTAATAACTGGTGATGAAAACTGATGGGTTGGCTGGACACCCATGAAGAGTCTTCTGCTTATCAGCTGAAGACAGGGCCAGGCCTCACAAATCCCTGCCGCTCACAGGCTCCTGTTCTCACGCTCTAGGTAGCTCAGAGACCGCTGGAAGTCTGAATCACATCAAGCCATTGCCTGAGCCACAGTTCCTCACGGCCTCACTGGGCTTCTGTTGCTTAAAGGCCCCAGGGAGTGATTTGTGGAAACCATAAATCCATTTTACAGTTGAACATCAACTGTAATGCCTTCTACTCAAAGGAAACCAAGAATTAAATTTCAGAAAAAGTGAACGCCGCAAACTCCGGCTGTTTACATCACATCAAAAGACGTTGAAAATTCAAGTTCAGTTGCTGCCCGTCTTCCCGTGTTTTTCAATTTTGCTGTAAGAGAGATTCACAAAGGTGGTGTTTCTTTCTTTCTTTTCTTTTTCTTTTTCTTTTTTTTGCCAGATTCTTTGTAACTTAAAACTGATTGGCATTGGTCTGATGCATGTGTGTGGTGTAGACAGTCCAGGAATTTCAAGTCCATGTGGGCAAGGCACCATATTTCAAAAGACAACCTAGAGGGGAAGTGTTAGTGCCTCGAAATTCAGTGTGAGTTGAGCATCAGAATCACCTGGCAGGCTCTATGAATGTGACCTCAACTAATGGCCCTTTGACACTACCTGCTGGAGCCGGCCAGGTTTGCCCATCTCACTTATTAAACACTTGCTCCTTCAGAAAATCCTACTTTAGCTTTTGTTTAGCTGGGAAGTTCAAAGACAGATCTTTCCTTCCAAAAAACATATTCGAGGCCGGCAGGGTCTGGACAAGAGGATGCTTTAAATAGCTCTTACTATTTTCCCCCATTAACTGGGCCACCCCACCAAGGATGTACATCTTTAAATTCTTCCAGAGAATTCAGATGTCAGCACCAGCAGAACACAAAGAATGAATGGTTACTACCGGTGTGTTATGGTGGAGGAATCAGCACTCTGGGCGACAGCGCACGGATTTTCTATTTTTGTATTTTGTTTGTTTGTTTCCAGTCAGAGTCTTGCTCTGTTGCCCAGGCTGGAGTGCAGTGGTGCAATCTCGGCTCACTGCAACCTTCTCCCAGGTTCAAGCAGTTCTGCTTCAGCTTCCCAAGTAGCTGGGATTATAGGTGCGTGCCACCACACCCAACTAATTTTTGTATTTTTAGTAGAGCCAGAGTTTCACCATGTTGGCCAGGCTGGTCTTGAACTCCTGACCTCGTGATCCACCCGCCTTGGCCTCCCAAAGTGCTGGGATTACAGGTGTGAGCCACCACACCCTGCCAGATCAACTGTTTTTGGAGTTGGTCATCATTTGGTTAAGGTGTACAATTTTGCCATTTTGGTAGATTGAAAATGGTCAAATTTTAGCAGTTTCATACAGTTCAACCCCATTCTACACATTTTTCCCATCTTACTATTATCTGGAGTGAGGGTGACCCACCAACCTGGTTTGTTTAGGGCTGGTCCACTTATGGCATTGAAATCCCACATCCAGGGAGGCCTCTCTGTCTTAGGCAGACTGGAGTGGTGGGTCACAGCTGGGAGACCAGGTTCAAACTCCTCAGCTTGGGGTATGGGGCACCCCATCTTGCCTGAGTCCTCTGCTCCATTAAGGTGTCATTGATAAAGGCAAACATAATTATAGTCACCAAGTGCCATTGTACGTGACCTCATTACTCCTCAGAACAGTCCTCTGAGGCTTACAGAAGTTAGGTAGCCTCTGCAAGACCTCACCTATATTGGGGCTGAAGCTGTCCAGCATTCTGCTGTGTGCCAGACACTCTGCTGGGCCCTTTATAAGAAGACAGGCTAGGCTTTTGAAACTGAAAATGGAAAAATGTTAAACAACTAGTCGTTGGATAGCATTCCTTTGAAAATGTGGTACTCCCTCCTGGATTTGAGGACACAGAAGTAGTTTGGTGACACTGCACCCCCTGTGAAGCCTTGGAGGCAGGGCGTGGCTCCCCGACTGTGCAGTGTGTGAGGAGCGGTCAGGTAAGGCCAGTGCCTGATAGAACAGTCAGGAATCCCACACCTGACTGTTCTGTTTGGACACGTGGATTAATTTTTGGATTTTCTCCCTGTGGATTATTGCTCTTATGAACAGCTTTTAAAAATGGGGATTATTGGTACCTAATATACTGAAAAATAAAACCAGAGCACTAGACAGTTCTTTCAAAGACAGCTGTTGGCCTCCCGACTTGATCAACTGTATTCCTCAAATGGGGGTGCTGTGGTTTCCCCAAGGAGATGAGAAACCACAGCACAAACAAAGAACATCTTGGTGGAGAGCTGATTATATTTGAAGATCTGGGGAGTTTTTCTCCATTGAAAAACAAAATAAAACAGACTCACATAAGAGGAAGGTTGGAAAATCTTATGAATTTTTAATGTAAAATATGCAGAATTAATGCTTTTGAAGTTACTTCAGCTCTACTCCTAAGCTCTCAGGTCACAGAGTTAAATTTTGAAGTGTACGGAACCGGACTTCAGTAATAAACCATGGAGCGCTGAGCTTACACGTCATTCAATTATCCTCTGAACTTGATTTTTTTTCTTTTGTCATGTAGGTCACCAATAATGTGGAATCCATTTCGTGGAGACAAGCTACTTTTAATCAAAAATTGTAAGACATGGTGAGTACTCAAGCATATGACTATAATTTTCTGAATAGACTTTAGATACCAGATTTTAAAGGCATTTCAAAATGTCTACATCGTAGCAGAAGCTTGGATTAAGCTATTTTATATTTCATAGTCACTGTGGTTTGGTCTCTAAAATTATGTACATTGTCATTGAATAAAATTCTTCTTAAACAACTAGAACACTTGGTTGATTTTAAATGACTAATTATTGTTATATTATGTGAGAGCACATAAGGTATGTTCTGCTTTACAAGTAAAGCCTGGCAACGTTTCCCATGGTTTGCAATTCAAATTGGATGGCTCTGAGTCATTTAAAAGCAGGTGAGCAGCAGATATAAAACAGTTTTTTGAAAGGGGCTATTTGTTTCTCCTATCTTGGCTTTGCTGAAAAGAATTATTTAAGGCTGACAGAGGAATGAGGATGAAGCAGGAGTTGGGCTCAGTTTTGTTCACTAGTCCAGTTAGCCTAGTCATTAGCTTAGCATTTTGAAGCTTCAGTGTTAGAATCTATAGCCGTTCCCCTAAGAACAAAGTAAAATGTGATTTCCAAGTCCAAAATAATGAAAAAGTTTCAATGATATTGAACAGGCTATGTGGAGGAGAGCAGAGGAAATCAGCAAGCTCCTGCCTCCTCACGGCTGTCTTGGGGAGAATGTTGAGTGGATTGATGTTTTTATACATATTAGACTGTTTTGATGAGATGGCCTTGCCAAGTAGGTGTTTGTTTTGTTTCTTTTCTTCCTTCTGTGTAAAGATGTTTAATTCCTTGAGCCATCCTCTAGTTCCTATGGTTTTGTCATTGTTCTCTTAGGAAAGAGAAAGGTAACAGGAAATATGCACTCTTTACCCTTTCTTTGTTCTCAGGGGGCATTGTGATGTTACCTTGAGTTCTGTATTGAGTTTTCAGTGACAGTGTTATGAGACGTGTGAGTAAGCATTTAACAATGACCAAGAAGTAGTCAGATTCAAACCCAGCAATACAGAATTCTCATTTTAATTTCAAGTTATGGATATTTGTCTTTGATTTTTATGGATTTTGCCATTTTTAAACAAACAAGATTTCAATGTTTATCTTCTCTGTAAGAGATGGGAAGGCCTATGAACATTTTAGCAACCCAAAAGATGATTCCTTAGTTTTTTCCTCAGGGGAATGTTTTATTTATAGGTAATCAAAGGAAATGTTTGTTTCCACGGCGAAGTGTAGATAAAATATAAAATCGGTTTTTCACTATCAACTAGGGATCACTAGGCAATATGTTAGTATAGAGATGTAAATGTGAAAAGGAAAAATGTGAAGCAGTATTATTTTTAAATATAAGTTTGCCACTTCTCTAACTCCCCCGCCCTAAAAAAGAGATTCGAGTTGTCCAAGATAGCTGTAAACTTGAGTTCCTATTACTTTGCATATATATTCAGGGAATGAGATGAAATTAACAAAGGAGGAGAGAAAGCAACTCCGGACCCGAAGCACAACTGCTGTTGTGTTGATGCGGAAAATGGCTGACTCATAGACTTTCCGCAGAAGCTGCCATGATTCTTTGAGTTGTGTTAAGAAAAGACTCTGGAGCTCTGGAGAGTCTGGCTTTGAATCTAGGCTTGACCATTTATGGATTATGTGAATTTGAGCACGTTACTTAACATCTAGGCTCCGTTACCTTGTCTATAAAGTGGGCACCAACAATATACCTTGAAGTTTTTTAAAAAATAGAACCAAATAAGTTAATATTTGTGTAACTCATGCTGAAGTTTCTGACAAAATAAAAATTCTTAAGTGTTTACCTTTTTAATTACTCTAACAAATATTTACCACTAATATTTGACATGTAATTAAAATTTTCAAAAATTTAATTTTTTTCCTGGTGTTAAAATAAAATTATCATGACAGTAATAAAAGGATAACAGGTAAGGATTATCCTTTAGTTAACTTTGGTTAATTTTAAGTGGTGTTAGTGTGATATGACTTTAGCATTACTCATTATTAGTTATTCTAAGCATCAGTTAGGAGAGAGAAATCATCCAGAAATTTGAACAGGAAAAGCTGAACATAAAGAATTATTAACTGTAACAGGGGATTGGAGTAAGGAGAGTTTGGCTAATAAGAACTAGAGGGTTCTAAGGAATATTGGCATAGCAGCTGGAAGGAGCTGCCACTCCCCCAGGCCCGAGATGAGCACCTGAGGAAGGGCTGGGCTGAGGGCCAGACCTCACTGGAAGGGCACAACCCTGTGTCACTGGATGGCAGACAGGTGACTGTGGTGAGGCACTGGCAGGACTTGCTGGAAATCCACCCTCTGGAACTCACTGGAGATATTCCTTCTAAGGTGACAAGGGAAGCTGTTTGTGGGAATGTATTTCCCCGGAGGCACTGAGCCTTTGCCCCCAGTGCCCAAGAGAGACTGCAGGAGGTGGCTGTTGGGTGCCAGGCACCCCGGCTGCCCTGCCCTACAGGAGCCTGGGAGTATGGGTGAGCTGCCTGCCCTGCAGGAACCTGTCTAGAGCAGGAAGCAAAACACTCCTGCAGCATCTCACCAGTGGCCTTTACTGACAAAATGTAACATCCTAACAGTTAGCAAAGCGAAAATATTCAAGTGGCTCAGAACCATTTTCACAGAGCAAGCAAAAAGGGTGAATTTGGAGCTGAGCATCAATAAGTGGCTAACTCTGCTAGCAGGAGAAACACTTTTCCAAAAATTTATGTGAAATATATATGGTAAAACTTATGAAAAGAGAGAATGGAAAGATACAAAGTACCTGAGAGCTTACCCCTGCTTACCCTGGTCAGTTACAGAGAACCTGAACTGCCTTGTTTTTGTCTTTTAGTGCATTTGTTTTTCTTGTAGTGAACTTGGAATGTAAAGCTTGAATTGACAAACTCTACAAGAAGCAACATTATGAAATTTGGGTTTATGGTTATAAAAACATTATGAAAAACATTATTCATCGTGCTACATAGAGTTTTCAAATGAGTACTCTGAAGAATTCTCTCTGGTTGCAGTTCTGATGAGCGATAGATCTTGTTTCTCTTAAGACATGAAACACAGCAGAGCAGTAGCTATCCCGAAGTTGAGCTCATCAGACACTAGTCAACACTGGATATTGACTTGTGCAACTGATGAGATTAGAAGGCAGTTTAAATAAGAAATTAATCAAAGGTGAAGATTAAAAAATAACAAGAAACATACATGAGATTAATACAAACATTGATAATGTAAATGTACTTCCCAGGGTAGGATATAAAATTTTCCCTAAACTTTCTTTCCAGCAGCCTTATGAATTAATTGGTACTTGATTGATTGATTGACAACTCCAGTTATTAACTAAATTGAATCAGCTGGGAAACACTGCCTGGATTACTTCCTCAGAATTATTTCCGCACAGGGACTATATGATTGAATGTAATCAAATAGACTCAAGAAGGAATTAAATTCTTTAAAGTCACTTAGGCTTTTAATTTTTTCCCTCCTTTTTTCTTGTTGTTTAATAATTGAATACTCATTTTAAAAATGTGTTATTGATATATTTAAGGAATTAAATGTCATGAACTAATACCACCTGTAACAAGAGGAAGAAATTGTTATTGAAAGAAGGGAAATAAAAAGAACAAGTTCTGCCAGACTACTTTTGTGCCTGTTTATTTGATTAATCCTGGTAAGGGAGACATATATGTCTTACAATCATTTTATATACATTGAATTTATATGCATATTCCTTTAAAATGCTATCTCATATTTCTGTGTCTCTACTTTCTGTTTAAGATCCATCTAGTTTCTCCTGGACAGGAACTTAAAACAGAAACATCTTGCAAAACTGGCTTGAGTGGGTGATGCTAAGTATACAAATAGCAGGGAGTGCTGTCTAACTAACAAGAAAGTTTAGTTTGCCAGAATTCTATTCATATCAAAGAATCTCAGAAATAGTTAGAAAGTCTGTTTTGGTAGCTGCTTACTACCTTTACGATCATAAGTAGTTTCAGGTTCTATGGTTGCTGCTTTTGCAGTAGCATTTGTGCTTCTTATTTGATCTTTTTGAAGATTTTTGTCAGGTGTTAAATAGATTGATTTAATCTTAAAAAACTTAATAGCATAACCCAATAAATCTTTTCCTAGATGCTAGTTAGTGGCCCATTCCCACTTCCCGTTATGCACGTGGTCTTGATAAGGTTGCCCCATTCAATTAATTTGTGCTTAGTAGGGGGGACACTTGAGAGCAGTTGGGACCAGTGTCTGTCAGATAAATAAATATGAATTCCTAATTAGGCAGAGTGAGAATGCCCAGAATGGTTTATCATCACAACCATTCCCAAAACAGGGTTGAGGTCTTATGGGGAGGCCTTACTCCGTTGTTTGTGATCAACCCCAGCTGGCACACAAGCCCTCAGAGTCTGCAATGATGCCTTCTCAAAGTACATTCAAGTACTTGCACTTAAATCAACAGAGTAAAAAAAATGTCAATTTTAAAAGAGATTATCATTTAAATGGTCTGTTAGAAAAACTACAGCAACATCGCTCCTCTCAAAGAAGAATGCTAAAAGGATAATTAGACATCAGCAGAATACCAACACATTACTGGGAAAAAGAAAGGGCACAGGAACTTCTAAAATTTACTGAAATAAAAATCAGCACAGGGACCTAGACCTTCATTAGAACCGAGTGATGAGATGAACTACTAACGTTGATGAACAGCAGTATAAATGTTATACGGGTTCAGAATATTCCTTGAGATTACTCAGGGAGTCAAAAATTGACACATTTTACATTTTCTTTTGTATTTAAAATAGCCAATAAAATTCATTTTGCTAACATATACTTAAATCAATATGCATGTTGCAAGAAGCCAAGTTCAAGGGCACAATTTAGCATAAATCATGTGTTAGTTGTTGCTACTGTTAACAGTCATCTCTTTTTTCCTGGGGTCAGAGCCAATTAAGAGACATATAGAAGCCTGGGAACGATCAAAATACCGGCTTTATGACTTATCAAAGCCAGATGGAAGAATAGGGTTTTATATGTGGGCTAAAGGGAATACTAATTTCTCTCCTGTGAACTGAAGTGAGTTCCGGACACTGCACGGGGTTGCACCTGCTTGGGAACTGGAGGAGAGCAAGGAGGGTGGGGTGCTGCCCCCTAGCGGTGGGCCCCGGTGCACACAGGCGACAACAGCCACAGACCCACCGCCCTCCTGCTTCATCTCCTTTGGTAATTCATGAGACAGTTTCCTGGGAAGTCCCATGTTTAATTTTCATCGTGATTGACTCTGAAACAGTATTCTCTGTGTAGCCATGAGGAAATGAGAATTTGTTTCTTATAGTTCTCCACTGAACTACTTTATCATTTCTGATTGAACCAATTCCTTATTTTCCCCTCGTAACTAACACCCACTCGCCTCCAGGTTAGAGTTTTCCTTACTTGGCAAAATCAGATACTAAATAAAATATGATAAAAATAAATCAAAACTCTTGCTTATCCTTACAGAGTTGCACAATTTCTATCTTGAATATGACAGGCCACAGTCTCAGGATTTTCTTGCTCTGATTCAAATACAAAGTGAGTAGCTGGTTTATGGCCCAGCAGGAGCCAAGGGCGACCCACCTACCTCCTAATCTAGAGCTCTTCCCACTTCGCAGCACTTGCTGCATAAGACCTTAAGATGCAGAGTCTCACAGAGCAGTTGCGAGTGCACTGTGGAGGCAGGTGGCTATGAGTTTGGATTTCAGCTCTGCTCTGACTAGCCCTCTGACTTTGAGAGAGGTTATGACCTTCCTGGGCCTCCAGTGCTTCATGGGCAAAATGCAGACCACAGCATTTCTGTTGCAATATTGCTGTATTTAAATGAGATTATGTGTTTGAAATGCATCTTGCTGTGCTTGGGGTAGCTTAGCACTAATAAGTGCTGGCATGACCCATTGTTAAGCTGCACTTACCCACAGTATGAATAAAAATAGTTTAATTTTACACAAGTTGTAAATGAAAAGAGAATGAGTGCGTAAACCATTTGAAAAGATAACTTCAGTTACATGGCTTCTTCATAGAAACCAGTCGTCGGCAGAAGTGATCTATCAACACCTTCTTTCTTTTCTCATTTCTGGTTTGGTTTCTGGCTGCTCTGCCTCATTTTTCCCTTTTGTGACTGCCTTGTGTCCCTGTGAGACGACTGGGGCTCCAATCTTGTCTCCCTCTGTCCAACCACAGCTACCTTTCTTCGTCCTCACAGCCTGATGTCATGATAAGGGGAGTAACTTACCCCTTCCACATGTAACAGAAAGTAACACTTCAGCAACACCCAACTCTGGATTAATAACTCAGTTTCTTTTCGTTCTGGAACAGTTCAAAGCTCTCTTTTTTCTTCTTTTAAAAATGTAATTGACAAACACTATGTAGTACTTGCTACGTGCCAGACACTGTTCTAAGCACTTTACAAGTATTAACTCATTTTATCTTCCTATATCTAATCCAATTTTATATAAAACAGAAACCAAAGCAGAGAAGGCCTTAGTAACTTACCTGAAATTACCCAGCTAGTGCTTGGTGGAAGCAGGATTTCAGGCTGAGGAGTCTGGCCCCGGTCTCTGTGCTTTAACAGCTCAGCCCAGCTGCTTCTCCGCCACCCTTGCGACATCATCTTCCATCTCACACTGCCAAGGGCGGGAATGCCAGACTTATTAGAAAAGCCTTGAAAAACTCAAGAATGTAAGTATTAAAAAGTTCAGCATCTCAAATATTTATCATTTATTTGTAGTGAGAACACTTAAAATATTTTCTTTGAGATGTTTTGGAATACATAGTACATTAACTATAGTCATCATGTTTTGCAATAAACTACCAGAACTGATTCCTCCCATCTAACTGAAACTTTGCACTCTTTGACAACCATCTCCCCTTTCCCCGACCTCCCCACCATAAACATATACAACTTTTATTTGCCAATTAAAAATAAAATAAAAACAAAAAGAGGTGCAACAAACAGTTGTGCTTTCATCGTCCAAAGCACTAAGGGTAATGCTGGTCCAAGAGAATGACAGATTTTTGAGGGCGGTTTTGTTGTTTTATTTTGTTGGTAGCACAGAGGAGATGGGAGAGTTCTGAGTATAGAAAATGAGAGAGGAACTGGAACAGGGGACAGGAAATTTGCAAAATGTCAGAGCTGAAGTTGTAGAGCAAAAGAGGGATCATTGGTGGGGCTTATGGGATCGTTGTGGAGTTTACCATTGTCATCCTGAGCAAAGCCCAGGACTGAGAACAAGCAGGGAGAGGGAGGGAAGAGCCTCCGATAAGCAGTGCTGGGGCCAGAGGGAAGCCTGCTGCCGTCTCTCAACTGGGATTAGCTGCCCCATGCCTCTTGGGCTTTTTGCGTTTCTGAATTTGTGGGTGGTTGTGCCTCAGAGATGTACTGTTGGGGGCAACTGAAACACACTAAAAGTGAAATGTCGCCTCAGTTATGAGTGATCCTGATGAAGACGGTAACCAGGAAGTGTCTGAAGCCCGAGGCCACCACTCTAGAAACACCAAATGTATCGCTGAGCTCCAGAATAAAAATGATATGTGCTAACTGTAGGCGAGGGCCACATAAGCAAGGCAAAGTATTACCAAGAGGCACAATTTAAAAAAAATTATATATTTTTATTTAAAATTTTTAAGAATACAGTACATTGTTGTTAGTTATATTACCATGTTGTATAATAGACCTCTTGGATTCATTACTCCTGTCTAACAGATATTTTGTATTCTTTGACCAACATCCCCCTAACCCTCCCATCCCTGTCTCCTAACCACCATGCTATTCTCTGCTTCTTGGAGTTAGACTTTCTTAGATTCCACACATAAGTCAGGTCATGCAGTATTTGTGTTTCTGTCCTGGCTGATTTCAGTTGACGTAATGTCCTCCAGGTTCATCTGTGTTGTCGCAAGTGACAGGATTTCCCTCTTTTTAAGGTTAAGTAATAATCCATGGTGTATATATGCCACATTTTCTTTATTCATTCATCTGTTGAGAGATACTTAGGTTGATTTCATATTTTAGCTATTGTGAATAATACTGCATTGAACATAGGAGTGTGGATGTCTCTTTGATACGCTGATTTTAATTTGTTTTGGATAGACACCCAGTAAAGGGAATGCTGGATCACATGGTAGCTCTATTTTTATTTTTTTTTAGTAACTTCCGTATTGTTTTCCATGCTGGTTGTACTAATCTACATTTCTACCAACTGTATACAAGGGTTCCCTTTTCACCACATCCTCACCAACATTTGTTATCATTCATTTTTTTGATACAACCATTCTAACAGGTGTGAGATCGTATCTCATTGTGGTTTTAACGTACATTTCTCTGACGATTCCTGATGTTAAGCATTTCTCATGTACTCATTGACCATTTGTATCTCTTATGTTGAGAAATGTCTTTTCTCGTCCTTTGCCCACTTAAAAATCAGGTTGTTTTCTTGCTATTGAGTCTTTTGTGTTTCTTGCATATTTTCAATGTTAACCCTTTATCTGATACATGGTTTTCAAATATTTTTTCCCATTCTATAGGTTGTTTCTTAATTATGTTGATTGTTTCCTTTGCTTTGCTGAATCTTTTTAGTTTGATGTGATCCTGTTGGTCTATTTTTGCTTTTTTATTGCCTGTGCTTTCTTGGTCATTCCCAAAAATCATTGCCCAGACCAATATCATAGAGCTTTGCCCTTCTGATTTCTTCTAGGCAGTTTTACAGATTCTGGTCTTAGGTTTAAGTCTTTAATCCATTTTGATTTGAGGTTTGTGTATGATGGAAGATAAGGATCCAGTTTTATTCTTTTGCGTGTGGGTATGCAGTTTTCCCGTTGTCATTTGTTGAAGAGGTTCTCCTTTCTCCATTTAGTATTCTTGGGACCTTCGTAGGAACAAAGTGACACAATTCTTAGAAGTAGTGTTAGTACACTAAAACCCAAACTGGGCAGTCCTATGGGTTTCTGGCACCTCTAGTTATTGTCTGTGGGACCCTGAGCAGGTTCATTAAGCTCTCTGCGCATTCATTCCCTCAACAGAAAAATGCAGAAAATGCCTAAATGGTTAGCAATCATTACCAACAGGTTAGAGATGGCGTTTGTTGAGTGTCTTGTTCAACACCTGGCAGATAGTAAGTGCTTAAGTATTTTCCGAATGAGTAGTGGGAATTCAAAACTGCTAGTTTTCCACTAGGGGGGGAAAAAAAAACCCTTAACGATTCCAAAGACGCTGTTTATATTAAAAGCTTGTGAAAGCACAGGAGAGTAGAGCATGGAATATGAGACCACACAGTTTCATCATCCAGAATTCAGGGTCATTACAGATTTGTCAGAGGTGTTTCATTTTCTGAATAAAAGAAAACAAATAAATTATTATTCTTTTAAATATTATATTTGTATCAAGAAAATGTACAGGAAGTGTAGAGTTTCATTCTCTGGGCAGGCCGTATCAGCTGAGGCGTCAGAAAGAGACAACACAGCCTTCATTTGCTTCCGTTGCTTTGTGGCAAGTCTAAGGATATTTCAGAGTGAAACAAATATGGACACAAAGGATCTGAGCTCCTTTTCCGGAAGCATTTTGTCTGAGGACAGACCCAAACAGGGATGGCTCATTGATACGGTTTGGATCTCTGTCCTCTAAATCTCATGTTGAAATGTAATCTCCAATGCTGAAGGTGGGATCTGGAGGGAGCCGTTCGGATCACGGGCGCAGATCTCCCGTGGCTTGGTGCTGTCTTCCTGAGGATGAATTCTTGCGAGATCTGGTTGTTTAAAAGTGCGTGGCATCTCCCCCCTCACTCTCTTGCTCCTGCTCTGGCCATGTAATGTGCCTGCTCCCTCTTTGCCTTCTGCTGTGATTTTACTTCCCAAGGCCTCCCCAGGAACTGAGCAGATGCTAGTATCGTGCTTCCTGTACAGCCTACAGAACCATGAGCCAATTAAACCCCTTTTCTTTGTAAATTACCCAGTCTCAGGTATTTCTTTATAGCAATGCAAAAACAACTTAATACACCCAAGTGAACCACAGTCCATGTGATATTTGAGGACTGTGGAGAATGTGACTGCTCGAGGAAAGCACGGAGGGACAACTCTGCTCCTCTCTAAGGAGAACCCCCTGTAACTGATGGCACAGAGCTCAGTGAAGGCAGCGCTATGGGCAGTTACCAAATGAATGATTAGCAGGAAACTAGAAGAGGAAAAGCTGATTGCTGGGAGTCAGCACCAGTTGTCTTAGAAAAAAAAATCTTTCCAGACCAGGTGCGGTGACTCATGCCTGTAATCCCAGCACTATGGGAGGCTGAGGCAGGTGAATCACCTGAGGTCAGGAGTTTGAGACCAGCCTGGCCAACATAATGAAACCCATCTCTATTAAAAATATAAAAATTAGCCGGGCGTGTTGGTGCACGCCTATAATCCCAGCTACTTAGGAGGCGGAGGCAAGAGAATCACTTGAACCCAGGAGGTGGAGGTTGCAGTGAGTGGAGATCGTGCCATTGCACTCCAGCCTGGGCGACAAGAGCAAAACTCCATCCAATTTTTTTTTTTGAAAAAAAAAAATTCCAGTATAAACGTGTGTGTGTGTGTGTGTGTTATATATGTGTGTGTGTGTATATATGTGTGTGTGTGTGTATATATATATGATTGTGATTTGGTACAGCAGGGAAATAGTATAGCTGTATTTAAGTAAGAACTTGGTAAGTCCTTTTTGATGATACGGTTAGGTAGACTCATAAATAGGTTGTTGAAAAATTCTTGTGTAGAATCTGAATAATGGTGATGATCTCATAGAAAATAGGTGTTCCTGGTATCCTCAGTGCTAGTGAACTGGTCGCATTTAATGATGAATTAGCCTCTGCAGAGACAACTTAAAGGTTATTCATGGGCTTGCAACATTAACATTTAGACACTTCTCTACAATTTCATGTTTCTTCTTGGAGAACTTGTTGATTTAATTTAACAAATGTCATTCACTAATGGTAAAGGTCATTACATGAAAGGAAAATGATAAATCTCTAACATTCACTAATGAAGCCTTTATGGTAAATATCACACACTTAGAATTATCTTAAAAATAAGAATAAAGCTTGTTTGGCCTTTTATTAAAGCTCCAACTATCAAGGCTAATATTTTATCTATCTTTTGTATTTTGATTTCTATTCTACTTCACTGCATGCCCTGTTCAATGTATTAACTTGCTGAAAATGGAATTATAGGTGTCTTTAGGGATAAATATATAATTTTTGACTGATTGAAGGCATTTGCTAATAGTGAAGTCTTCATCATTTAGCAGTGAAGTCTTCCTTTGTTTGAACAGTGTGAGACCTCAGGGATTGAATTGTAATTGATTCAGGCTAATCATGTTAACCCCATTTGTTTTGCCAGTGTTTTTTCCAGGGCTATGCATGTGACCCAGTTCTGGCCAAGGAACCCAAATGGGAACTCTACGGGGGATTCTGGGAAAGATTTTTCTCCTTGACAGAAGAGAGAATGGGGCAAAGAGAAAGCTCTTTTTGCCTTCTTTCCTCCCTCCCTTTGGACAACTGCTGTGTGAGCATATGATGGCTATAAAGAAACGAGCCCTGCTGGGTGCAGTGGCTCATGCCTGTAATCCCAACACTTTGGGAGGTTGAGGTGGGCCGGTCACAAGGTCAGGATATTG